ACACATACAGTTCGTATATAGATGTCACAAACAACGAATAACGACAACCACATTTTGCATTTGTGAATGGTACAAAACAATTTGAAAGAAAATACAAATAAAACAAGTAAGGTATACAATTCATTAGTATTTTGTATGCGAGGCATTTTCTTTTTATAGAGCATTGCATTTTGCTTTCATGCTGCCATACAGTTTTCCATTGTACTATAATGAAATATTGTTCTACACCTCCTGTATTACAGCCCACAATTCATTCAAGTTGTATGAACATTTTCTGACATGCTCGACGTTTTAGATAAGTACAAAAAAAAACAATGTCCATATAGGGTAAACCAAGCATCAAAGTATCCTTTCTACATTCGTTTTTCTGGAAGATTAATCTCAGTACGATGAATCACATTCCGGAAGGAATGCCATGATCGACCAGAATCTTTATGTACTGATCAGCAGTCAGGGTGCCATCAATTTTGTGTAGATCAGTGACAACATTTATTGAGATGCAGTCTAGTTCGCACTGATTTCCCCATCGTGTACCATTGTAGATGTCGTTCATTGACTATGATACACTTCTCCTATTCGCCGTCGAACAACCTATGATTGTTGACAAACTATTTGAAATTGACCGATTTATTTGTGGACAGATTATTCATTTGGTTACCTCTTTTCAGCAGCGTTTTTTTTTTTTACACAGCTACCAGTCCATTGAAAATGTTTCTTGCTAATGTGTATATTTTATTATTCACTAGGCAATATAAACACACATATTTAAAGCAAGGTAGTTGGCAGGGTCTATACTCGATCGTCTTGTATCTCGTAACGAATATACTCTGAGATCCTTAACTTCACTTTTATTTTTCCACTTCTATCTCTTCTGTTACTAACAGTGCCAGTTTTACGACCCTTGTCAGAGTCTTACATGCAGCTCCTAGTGTAAAATAGAGACTTGACATAATTTGTTTTGTAATGAAATACCTTTGATCTGTCACAATTTTAATATATACACGATTGTCTTGCAATATGTCAGCCTCGGTAGACATGTCTAAAATCACACTTCTACTATAAAATACCTGTTTGTACTTTGCTATTTATATATCCAGTTATTCTTAGAAATGGTTCAGTTTAGCGTCTTTTAATCATTAGGTTTATTATATGGTTTATAAGTTTTGGTAATTAAAAGTAGAACATAATTTTTAGATTCATATTTTCAATGTAACGTCAATATTACTATTAATAATAATAAAAAGATTTACAGTAGGTAGAATGATTAGTGATTTCATTTAATTCATATTAAGGTTAGTTATTTTGTTTTGTATGATCCACTGACTTTAACAGTAATATGATTTTTTTTTCATTTTGAATATTCATGGTTTGCGATATGTGTAATTATATTTAAATAAAGAGTACCAGTTTGGTTTCATTTCTTATGTACCATAATAGGTCTTACATTAACATATTGTTATTAAGAGCTGTTACAAAACGTTTGGATATGCTGCTTTAAAAACAAACTTACAAGGCTGAATAAGAAAAAGTACAAGAACATTAGGAATAAATTGGCTGTTTGGATTTCTAAGTAAAGTCTAGTATATTAAAATTTGAATATCGATTAACAACAGTGTAAACAAATCAATTAACACAGAATATATAGTTGGATGCTTTCTATTTACTTTATTTGTATATCCTAAGAGTTGACGTGAATTAATATAAAAATACAAATATTTCTTGGAAGCTATGGACTGATGAACCAGTATACTGTAGTTATATAAGTAGAGAATAGAAAACAGCATCTAATCTTCGAACATTATACCTACTGGGAAAGCTGACGATAACGTACTGGAGTGTGTTGGAAAAGCTGACGATAACGTACTGGAGTGTGTTGGAAAAGCTGACGATAACGTAATGGAGTGTGTTGGGAAAGTTGACGATAACGTACTGGAGTAAATGTCTTTGATTGGTTTACAGAAATACACATTCCAGTACGTTATCGTCAACTTTCCCAACACCCTCCATTACGTTATCGTCAGCTTTTCCAACACCCTCCATTACGTTATCGTCAGCTTTCCCAACACACTCCAGTACGTTATCGTCAGCTTTCCCAACACACTCCAGTACGTTATCGTCAGCTTTCCCAACACACTCCAGTACGTTATCGTCAGCTTTCCCAACACACTCCAGTACGTTATCGTCAGCTTTCCCAACACACTCCAGTACGTTATCGTCAGCTTTCCCAACACACTGAAAAGACAACTAGTTAGCACCACCAAACGCTGTCTCTTGGGCTATTCTTTACCAACGAATAATGGAATTAATCGTACATCAAAACGCCTCCATATCTAAAAGATCGAAGATGCTCGATGATAGAGTTCGATCCCGCAGTCCTCAGATTATCGAGTACCCTAATAACCAGCAGGTCATGCCAGGCCTCCATGGTTAATTACTTCATAGAAAACTGTCATATTGTCAACCCCCTCACACAGGCACAAACAGACACATAGTGATTACTTTGACGGTTTCCTAATACATAATTTCATATATACATCTACAGTGGAGAAATAACAAAAGATCGCTGCGAGGGATAATATAATTCTAGTCTGTCACTCAAAAATGGGGATGGTTAACACCGATAGCCCTCGAACAGCTTAACGCGAAATACAAAAACAAAACCACATGTACAACGGAAATAAATACTGATGAGCGTATTCATGCTGTAGTTAACGCCTTCGCTCCTTGTAAATACTTTTAATCGTTACTTAATCAGGAAGAGACATTTTGAAATCATAACAATTTATTATTATTTATTCTATTAAATCGAAAAATACATGAGTTCGGTTTCTTCCCATAGTCAGGCTTCTCGATTATTTCATCTCAGTGACACGTAAGTGTGGTAGCATAAAAGTGGTACATTTGCACGTTATTCTATTATGTAATAATTTGATTCATGTGGCACACTTGCACGTTATTCTCTTGTATAATAATTTGATTCATGTGGCACACTTGCACGTTATTCTCTTGTATAATAATTTGATTCATGTGGCACACTTGCACGGTATTCTCTTGTATAATAATTTGATTCATGTGGCACACTTGCACGGTATTCTCTTGTATAATAATTTGATTTGTATGTCACACTTGCACGGTATGCTATTACGTAATAATTTGATTCGTATGTCACATTTGCACGTTATGCTATTACGTAATAATTTGATTTGTATGTCACACTTGCACGTTATGCTATTACGTATTAATTTGATTCGTATGTCACGCTTGCACGTTATGCTATTACGTAATAATTTGATTCGTATGTCACGCTTGCACGTAATTCTATTACGTAATAATTTGATTTGTATGTCACACTTGCACGGTATTCTATTATGTAATAATTTGATTTGTATGTCACATTTGCACGTTATGCTATTACGTAATAATTTGATTCGTATGTCACGCTTGCACGTTATGCTATTACGTAATAATTTGATTCGTATGTCACACTTGCACGTTATGCTATTACGTAATAATTCGATTCGTATGTCACGCTTGCACGTTATGCTATTACGTAATAATCTGATTCGTATGTTACACTTGCACGTAATTCTATTACGTAATAATCTGATTCGTATGTTACACTTGCACGTTATGCTATTACGTAATAATCTGATTCGTATGTTACACTTGCACGTTATGCTATTACGTAATAATTTGATTCGTATGTCACGCTTGCACGTTATGCTATTACGTAATAATTTTATTCGTATGTCACACTTGCACGTTATGCTATTACGTAATAATTTGATTCGAATCTGGTTTCCCTTTCAGGATGATATTGCCAATTCTTTAACATGTATATATATATACGAGTATATATTACTTAACCAAATATGTAAACAAGAAGCATAAAGTGCGTGAAAAATATAATCACAAATGTAATTAACATTTCATTTTTGTACAAAAACGTCTGTAAAAAAATCAATCGCACACATCCATTTTCTAATACCTCGAAACTATTTATAAAATCCAAATTATAGCTCTCAAAGATAAACAATTCTCGTTATGTGACAGCCCAGAACACTCCACTAACAAAACTACCTATTTGATTGGGTCTGTGGTATTTGCTGCGTTAAAGAATGCTCATCTGTTTAGTAGTTTTCGGGTGTTTGTCTTCTCGGTAACTCTTAATTCGTCGAAAGGATATCTCGAAATCTTTACCAAGGATACATTCCTAATACCACTAGGCACTCTTAACTTTAAGAGCATCGGAACAATAGCAATTCCAGACTTAGAATAATTCAAATGCTGTCCAAGATTTTGAAAACAAAAAGATTTTCGGCTTCATACCTTGTAGTTAATTTAAATTGCAATATTCTCTTAAAGCAGTAACGTATGCAAGAAAATAAAACGAAAATATGTCTTGGTTTTTGTTTGTTTTGCATAAGTTATTTTCTTGACCATACGTGTACTATATTCTTGGTTTTACTATATTCTAATACCAAATTTCGAAACCGAAAAAGCATGAGAAATGTCAGTATGACAACTGAATTTCTATGATGTTAGTGACACGTGTGTGTTTGATATTCTGTAAATTTATATATCAACAATGTAACAAACAGTAGTAGCACTTCTGTCGTCTGTTATTGTATTTTTTTCATGTTTCCTGCTTGAGAGGTAAATAAAATTTCAATTAACAAAACATTGTAAAGCTGCATATGTAGTACCTAAATAACTATTATGTTGTATGATGTTCCTACAAAATATATTTAAATTTGCTTCAAATTAAACGTCGTTCAAGTTACATCAAAGAGTAATTTATTGAATAAAACAATCTTGACGATTCATTTTTTTTAAATACATATTTGTTCATACAATTATGAATTCTTACATAACCTATGTGTCTAAACATTTTTCGTTGTGGTTTATTTTCCTCTTCAAAATAACCAAATGGTCCCTAAGCAATATTTATTATATCCATGTTGCTACAGTTTGTATAATTCCGAAATCTGGGATGGCCTTGTAAACTCAGGCTTCTCAGATTCTGCATTGCGATTGGATCTCGGTAGAGAAGGAAGAAGCCAGCTTATTTCAACACACTATCAACATGAATTGCCATCAAGATCAGTTCATGTGGGAACTAAGAAAAATTATCGCTGTATTTTCTATTTTGTTTATGGCAGGTAAGGCTAGAAATAATAATTAAGATAAAACTTTAATTTGACTGTTTTATATTTAAAAAAAAAGTTTGTTAAAATGAATAGACAAGGTCTATGGTATGTTCTCTCTTTCAGTTTGATTAGGTAAAAAAAAATCGGTTTAAAGACTTGACTACAGTGAAATCTGTAACAGAAGTTTTTTTGTGCCTAACTTTTCTGCTTCTGTAAAAATGTTCTGGTCGTTTTAGAGCCACACGTTTTAATAATAATATTAACAAAATATCTTTCTGTGCTGTTAATGAATCGCTATCGATAGTGACGTCTAGGAACCTCACACTCAACAACTAGTAACAACTAGAGTCGGGATGTTATGTTACATTTGTAGAAAAAATCACTTGTAACAAAATATTGATATTACTTAGTCGGTTATAAAATCATTACGTTAAATACAACTCAAATCATTAAGAAGTAATTGTAAACCTGACAATATGTGTATATGTATGTGTGCGTCAAACACATTCGAAATAATTTAGAAGTAATTGTAAACATATACACACACATATATATGTGTGTGTGTGTTTGTGTAGATATACAGTGTACTGTTCAGGTATTTTCAACCTGAACGACACCTTACAAGACACGTGTACAAAGCGTCCAGTTAAATAACTCCAAGATTCAGGCATAATCACCCTAATTTATAGATTAGCAACCAGTCTTTATGGCTCGCCGCCTACTGGGCTACTCTTAACAGAATAGTGAAATCGAACCAAATCTATTTATCTGATCAAGAAACAGTGAAGTTATTTTCCCTTCTGGATATATGTGACAGTTTGGAATAATTTTAATGTGTAAATTAATGTTTTGTATAAGATGTTTTAGTATAAGTTATTGCAATGAACATTATTAGGAGAAAAATAATTCATTTAAAACAAACTTTCAAAAAACTGTACCAAAAATACTACAATAAAGAAAAACAAAATTATCCTCGTGAATTTTTGATATAAGACGAAAAATTGTAAAACAAAGTAGTTTTATTTATTGTAAAACTTACTGCTGAGCTACGTCGGTGAGCGAATACAAGTTTTTTCATATGTAAAAATCAACAGTCGTATATTTAAAAAACAATGTACAAATATACGTAAACAACATTATGAATTAGTACTGTGTATATATATAATATTAAATAAAAACTCATACAAATACGTATAAAACCAATATGAAAATAATATGGAATTTAATCAAATGGTCTGAACTGCAAAATAAATGGAAGATGTCAAAATAATAATATTTTCCGACAATTAGGTATATAAGGTTTGTTTTAAAATAATTAGTTAACTCTGTGGTGAAAATAAGAATTACACATTAATTAGTTAACTCTATGGTGAAAATAAGAATTACACATTAATTAGTTAACTCTGTGATGAAAATAAGAATTACACATTAATTAGTTAACTCTGTGGTGAAAATAAGAATTACACATTTAAATGTTATTGAGTCAATAATGTGTATATGTTTGTGTGTATGTGTCTGTAATACGTTTACATATAACATTTTGTGTTGGAATGCTAGAGATGTAGTTTTCGTAACAGTAAAATATGGAAATGTCTAGCACTAAGGACTAAATGTGTTGGAATGCTAGAGATGTAGTTTTCGTAACAGTAAAATATGGAAATGTCTAGCACTAAGGACTAAAATAACATATGTTTTCATTGTATATTATTACATGCAATCTGTTTCGTACGTAACATTTGTATATTTCTGTTCAGTCCTGTGTAATTCGTTAATGTTTATATTCAACCGTGAGAAAATCTTCTCCCGACATTTTCCTGTCAAGATAATACATGGTTAATGGCCTTTCATCTTATGACAAGATCAGGCGTTGACGGTTTACTTTGGTGTTTACTCATTTCTTCCGTCCCCAATATACTTTTCACCATTCATGAACACACTATGGTGTTCAACTAATATTTTTTGTCATAAGATTTACCTTCTTTACGTCACTAGCACAAACTCGCACAGATAGATAAACAAGTACGTGTGATCATGAGAAAGGTAACGAATTACTGTTTACTTTATGTTGTGGGAACTGCCTGGATACATAAAAGTAAGTAGAAAAGTTCAACAAGACGAGTCAGTCAATAAGTCCTCAATAATATGCTCGACACGACTTCTTCATGTATTTCGAAGTGAAAAAACAAACAACTTGAAATACAAATAATGCACGTTATGAAGAATCCCATAAATAAACGAACGAATGTATATCGTGTGCTACACGTACGGTTAAAATCTTCAATTAATATATGCCACATTTATCTGAAAATAACACGTCTATCCATTAGGTTAACATAACTATACAACTGTATTTCAGAACAAAGTACGAAATAACAGAAAAACAGAGTTCATATATAAATATTGTTGAGAATCATTGTTCAGCCTCAATGTGTCGTACAGGTTTTCATAGTTCTTTATATGGCTGTTATTATATAAACATCTTCAAGATGATTTGAGCTTGTTATAGTGAAACTTCACAACAACAAAGTAGTTAGAAAATGCGGGTACAACCAAACACATTGGAAAAATAAAATAATTCAATAAAATGTCCTAAGTGCAACATGTATCAAACATATATACACAATGGACTTCTAATATAGTTAGCTGTAATATGTATCAAATACACAATGGACTTCTAATAAAGTTAGCTGTAATATGTATCAAATACACAATGGACTTCTAATAAAGTTAGCTGTAATATGTATCAAATACACAATGGAATTCTAATAAAGTTAGCTGTAATATGTATCAAATACACAATGGAATTCTAATAAAGTTAGCTATGTATCAAACATATATACACAATGGACTTCTAATAAAGTTAGCTGTAATATGTATCAAATACACAATGGACTTCTAATAAAGTTAGCTGCAATATGTATCAAACATATATACAATGGACTTCTAATAATGTTAGCTGGAATATGTATCAAATACACAATGGGCCTTTAATAATGTTAGCTGCAATATGTATCATACATATATACAATGGACTTCTAATAATGTTAGCTGTAATGTGTATAAAGATATACTCAATGGGCCTTTAATAATGTTAGCTGCAATATGTATCGAGCATATACACAATGTACCGCTAATAGCATCAGCTATCAGCAGATATTATAGCTTTTGAAATTTCGCTATACAACAGGAGATAACATACAATATGCAGGTAGAGTATATGCGTGTATAAAATATAATTAACGAACTATTTCCTCTTGTTCACAGAAACGTGTACATGTGTGTATATCTCTCTCCTGATGATTGTTGCCAACCATATGCGTGATGAAGTAAATAGTGAATATTTTTCATTCTACATATTTAATGAACTTTACCATAAAAAACAGAATTCGTAAAAACAAGTGATTATATGATAATCAGTCGGTGATGGAGAACAGAAAAAAGTTTGTTTGTTTGACATTAAACACAAATATACAAAATGGGCTATCTGGGCTATGCCCACCACGAGTATCGAGAACCGGTTTCTAGCGTTGTAAGTCCACAGACCTGCCGCTGTGCTATTCGGGGCATAGGAAAAAAAGTGTTGATTGTTATTCAAGACCACGTTTTTCTTGTTCTATTACACTGTCAAAATATCTGTGTAACTTTACACAAACATTATGATAGTTATCACAGTTTTATGTGATTGCGCACACATTATTGGTGTGCAAAATTACACAAATGCTGCCGTATAACAAACAATATACAAGCTTGTATTGCTGTTAACTTCCACAATTGTTATGTAAGACTACGCAGATACTTATCTACGCATATTTTACACATTAACGTTATATAGGAAACGAATACAAAAATGATCTGATAAAAGTAAAACTCGCTGGAAATCTGAGTGCACGTAATGATCAAGACTTTGATTTCTAAAATGATGAATATATAAGATAATAGAGATTTTAAAGATAAATCAAACATACAGAAAAGTTAAAATGTAGTTATGCAGGAAATATCGATGGTAAGTTTTGAGAAAACAAATGAGACACATTGATAAAGTTATCAAAAAATTACATTAACTTTTACTACCACCAATAATAGGTCGAGAAACAATTTTAAAACTGCACTAAATCATAAACCTTAACCAAATTTCACATTGGGCTATAACCCAATGTAAAATAGCTGAATGTGCAGTTCCTCTACGTAACATCCTGCATGCAATTTCTGCGAATCCTCTTTTGAAAACTATGCATAACACAACATAAATTTTTATTTACATGTATAACTGCTGACAACACTAGTAAAATAAACATCTAATATTAAAACACTAATCTCACATCAAACAAAAGACTAGGCATTTTTTGTAGTTTTGGATCCTTAGCAGAGGTTCTAATGTATCATTTATTCCACACTCATATTATTGCAAACGTGTTGATGTATTCTTATGGCTACGGAGATATTCCGGGTCAAAAAATTAAAATGTTTCAAACAAAAAGTATTAATGCATCGTTGGATTGAGAAGTATATTCCAAAACTTCAGTTTTATCTCTGGGTATTGTGTAGTTGATGCTATAAAAATTGTTTCCATTAGCTGTTACACAATTGCCAAAGCAAGTTTCTCCACAACTAACTGTCACCATATGTAGAAAAACTAAAATAAGAATTGACAAAGTTTTTTCAGCCGCGGCATAACGGCTCATAGAATAGCTGTGAATTTTTTGTTTTTCAAGTACAAACTTTTAGCTCATAGCTCTGTCATCTCTTGACCGATTTGAGAACTAATTACAGTTTTGGACTCGGGAGGTCAAACCCTTTCGATTGATTTATTTAATCACGCCCAAGATCTAATAGATTAATTTACTCTAATACTGCCTAAAATTATTTAAATTTGAGGGTAGGCTGGTAGAGATCCTGACGAGTAGTAAAATCGAATCGAGTATACGCGCGCCCCACGCTTTCTATTACTTTTGGCACAAAAATATAGCTAATAAAATGAAAAAAAAAGGTATAATAAATTAATTTACTCAAAT